ATAAAGATTTTCAAAGACTTTTTTATTGTTGTTCTTGGATAAATAAAGAAGAAAATGTATCATTAAAGTGTCATTTAGAGAAATGATAAAATAGCCCATTTCAATAGCTATCTAGTGGTAAATTTTGACATAATGATATGATATACAAAGTGGTTTTCTCCTACTGAGAGTCTTTTCCTGGGTTTTGATAAATAAAAAAAAAATGCTACAGTCTGAATTCTTATCCATAAGCCCATCTCAAATAGTATGCCACTGAATAAGGAACTCTTAAACTGGCCAGGCAAAACAATTTTTCAGGTATTTTCAGATTCCTTTTGTTCAATAATATATATATATATATTTTGCACATTTGAATGCTTATTCAGAAGAAAAAATAAAAGACAATTTAAGATTGAATTAGACTGTACAATTAACAATTAAACAAGAATATATATTTCCTGAAACTTTATGTTGTAATTTGACTGGAAGGCCACCTGACAGCAACGGACCTGGGAATATGTTTTGAATATGAGTCATCAGTGTGCTCAAGTGGTCAAGAATGCCAACACCATCCTATCCTACATCAGAAATAGTGTGATCAGCAGGACTAAGGAGGTGAACATCCCTCTGTATCTGGCACTGGTGAGGCCTCACCTCAAATGCCGTGTTCAGTTTTGAGCGCCTCTTTAGAAGACAGACATCGAAGCCCTGGAGTGTGTCCAGAGAAGGACAATTAAGTTTTGAAGGGTTTGGAGCACAAGTCCAATGGGGAGCTACTGAGAGTACAGGGATTATTTAGAGTAGTGAAATAGAAGCTCAGAGGAGATCTCACTGCTCTCTGTAATGACCTGAAATGTAGCAAGGCAGGGGTCATTCTCATCTCCCAACCAACAATAGGATAAGAGGAAATGTGCTCCATCAGAGGAGGAGCACAGCAAGGCATGCTGCACAAGGAGCCTTTCTGAACTAGGGAGATGCTGGGGTAGTAAGGAGGCCCACAAGCAGATATCCATAAGAAGTTGGAATGAACAATAGTTTTGCACCTTCCTATGAGTGCTATGCTCATAGCAGAAGCGAAGATCGTTCCCAGACTTTACGCAGATTGTGCCTTGGGCTGTGAGGAGAAAATTGCTGTGTTTCTAATCCCATATAGACTAGAGAGAATCACTTTTGTATTGATAGGGTAAGCAGTAGCTCTTATTTAAAAGAAAAAAATTAGGAACAATAATTGGATTTGTTCCATTTATGCAACAGAAGAAAGGGAGAAGAAAGTGCGTTGATATTATGTGACATGTTATGCAAGCCTTACGCTGCACAGTCAGATGTTTGCTTATGCTACCATTATTAACCCAGTGCTTTGGATTCCCCAGCTGGGAAAACTACATTGACTTCCAAGATGCTTCCAAAGATCCTCCAAAAAGGATCTTAAGAAACACACCTGCACAGAACATTTTGATATTCTGGAAGAGTTCCAAAAAACCACTTGGCTTCAGCTGAAGCAAAAACTGAAGTGTGCTATGGTCTTGTATGCATGAATGGTCTTGTATAGGTTTTGTAATTCAAAATATCAGGGATATGCAAAATATTTAGAGCAAAAGACTCAAGGGTCCTGCTCTCCTCCAATACAGAGAGCAGGCACCTTTTTTTTCCTTGTTACAGGGAATTGTCAGATCTTTTGATGAGACTCATTGCATTTTTATGGTCTCTGCTGGCTCTGTCTGCGGAGTACTTATCTGTGTATTCAGCATTGTGCCCTGCTCCTATACTGAATAACACTGAGAATCCAAGTTACAAGCTAAGTAGTTCTAGGTATTTATTACAACCTAAATGTGTCTGATATGCATCTGACTCTAGCAGTAATGTTTACTTCCATTGTGATACTTTACATTTATTCTTTGCTGCTGAAATATGGTATGCCATTTCAATCTACTCACTACTAACACATGGAAGATAAAGCTTGCAGAAGGGGAAGGTGAAAAGTAAATGTGACCATCTATAAATGGAAAGTTATGTTAACTTGTTTGATCAATCACTGTATATTATATTTTTCTCAGTATTGAAGTGAGTAGTAAGAAAAATTGTATTACATATGCACTTGATATCTACCAATGAAAAAATAAATTAGAAAGTACTGAAATCTTATCATATGTTGTATCAAGTATCATGTTTTAATATCATCACTTTGTATGTCTCCCAGCACTATACTACTAGCTGTTAATCTTCATGAATGGCTGGTATAATGTGTTGATTAGAGTGTAATAGTTTAATCATCTCTCAGTGGTAGGAGTTCATGTTGTAGTTTCACAGATCATGAAATGTGTCTGTTTAAGATATGAGCACATTATCTTTCCTTTCTTTTTTTTTCTTCTTTTTATTTTTTTCAGAAGGCACTATGTAACCATGCTCATTTTATCTCTGTCTCTCTTTTACCTGCAGTGTGGTGCTCATTAGCATGATCATTCAAGGCACAGGGATAGTCAAGGATGATGTTTATTACAGGGAAAAAAAGAGCACTTTCTTATTGGAAATGCATTTGCATTGCAAGTTAAAGACTGTAAACCCTCCTTATCATGTCTAAACACTGCATCTGATTAGTTGTTAGCTGTAAAGCTTGCAAAGGACAACAAACTGACAATGGTTCTTAAGTTATTACACAAATATGAAAATTGAAAAGGCATATTCTGAGTACATTCTCTCCTCTGGGATGTATATATATATTTTTTGGCATCATGAACCTGAGTTTGAGTAAATATACCAGTGTCTCTGAAGAACAGAAGAGAACGTAAAAGTTATCAATTAAAACAGGTATTTAGGAATGCAACTTTTGGATCTGATCCTTCCTGAGTGCATTAGTACACTCTTCTGAAGTCAGCAAAGCTTGGATGATTTATACAACCTGCAGATCTGAGTTTTGCCAAAGGGTGTACTTTGAAACAGTTCACTTACCCCTATTTATCTTTTTTTTTTTTTTTTTTTTTTTAATAATTATTTTTAGCACCAGTAAATAAATTTGAAAATGCACTCTTCAGGCTTGCATGGCTTCACCAAACCTGCTTCAGACAAGTCAGACTTAATCCCTTCTCACAGTAGTTGTGCAAGCCTTGAAGGAAAAGGAAGTTTGGGATGTGCTTTGCAGGGAGATTAAGGTGTAATTTTCTCTTTGTTACTTGGGAATTGTTTTCCTAGAACTGCACCAAGAGACAAAATGCTGATCATCTGGTATAGTAAAATTTTCAAAATACTTCTATTGAATTTAACTTTTTTTCAGAAGCAAAAACAAAAACAAAAAAAAGCAATACCTGGGGTTAGATGCTTAGTCTTTTTGGACATGGGATAAAATTAGAGGAAAAAAAAAAACCCCAAACCACAAAGATTAAGAGTTAGGCTTCAAATACTTCATGAAATAAGCAAAAACCCTCATTTTCCTTACTTTCTTCCAGAGATAGCAGAGGGGCAGTGGTACTGATCTCACAAAGAGAATAGCATAAGGCTAATATCCAAAGAGGAAGGCATGGCAAGAAAATGAATAACACATTGCCAAAGAGATTCCAGATGAATCATTAAAACCACTTTATTAAATATTAAATCATCCTCTTTGCCCCTTCCCTTTCATTTTGTACCTTCCAGAAGGTCTTTCAATACTATTTATCTTCCAGTGAATGGTAAACCATCACAGAATATTCTATGGCAGAAAATACCTGTTTTATTTCATCCTGACCCTGTGCCCCACTGAATATGGAGGTTGGCTGATCTAGCTCGTTTAGGAAAGAAATTTCTTATTACTCTGTTAAAAAAAAAATATATATATATATATATGTATATATGTATATATATATATCTCCTTTTTTTTTGTTTGTTTTCCTATTAAAATATTCTTCTATAGAAAAAACTAAACCAAGCAGGCATACCTCTTGATTTGATTGTAGTAGAATATTCTCTCATATTAGCAGACATTTTCCCTAATCAACCCTTTCCCAAAAGAAATCTAAACTTACAGAAATATTAAATATTATGAGCAATTTTAGTTCTAAGCAGGAGGCTGCTTCAGCCTGTTGGATCATTGCATTCACAATATACTACCCAAAAGGTGCAACTGGAAAAGTGAAAGCAATAGGATGAGTGACTTTTATGCAGTAAAAAGCAGCAGGAGGGCACACAAAATTAAAGTACGGAAATATGGAAACAAGAAAGTATGGAAACAAGAAAGAATAGAATATATATATGTATGTCATATATATATATGTATATTCAAGAGTGGTATTTATTTCCTCTTCCTCTCCCCTTCACCTCATTCCCCGATGCTCCCAATTAGAGCCCTTTTTAGATGAAGTTTATTAAGTTTCAAAACTTATAATTCAGCTTGTAAATTATACTGCTCGTGAAAATAGACTCACTGATTAATAAGATTCTGTTAATGAGATTCAATCTATATATCCTACATGGACTAAGCTAGCAGAACAAATCAAAAAGTGAGGGATATTCACAGTATGAATTCACAGTTAATGTGTGGATTAAGAACTCTTTCTTTTGAAAGTCTAACTTATAATGGCTTATTGTAGTCTAAGAAAGAGTAGGTTTGTGACACCATATTTACTTGACTTTCCTAAGTATTGGAATATACTTCATTTAAGATCATTTTCCATCTTCTCCATATGGGTCAAAGTATAGTGATCTTTAAATGTGCTTTCACTTTTAGGCCCTAAATTTGAAGGTGAGTAGCTCTGATTCTTATTTAATCCTTATGTTCTCCAGGTTGAGAAATAATGACAAGCTTGAATTGCCTTTTAAGATCAGTTTAATATTTATGGCTTTAATTACTTTTTTGTTTTTAAAATAATATTATCACAAAAAATATGGTTAACTTTCTACTTTGAAAACTTCCATTCTAAAATTGCAAAAGATCATTTGAATATATTAGAATTTCAAGAATAACCAAAGAATAAGTTCATTTTTACTCTAAAAATAGCTAAAAATACATAATTAAAACCTAATAAATTTTGTCTCTTTTTTTTTTTTTTCAGATGAATTCAAATTATTTATGAAAAGGCTGCCCATGAATTATTTTCTGAACACATCTACTGTAATGCATTTGTGGACAATGGATTCTAATTTTCAACGTCGCTATGAGCAATTAGAAAACAGCATGAAGCAACTATTTCTCAAGGCACAGAAGATTGTTCACAAGCTCTTTGGCCTTAGTAAGAGATGTCATAAACAGCCACTCATCCGTATGCCAAAGCAGAGGTAAGAAAATTTGCCTATTAAAATCTGAATAACTCAGTGTTTCATGCTAGTATCTCCTTAATGGCATGGATGTTATAATGCATGACACACAGTATATGTACAGAATATAGTCTTTGCATTTCTAGAAGTTAAACAATGCCAACCTTCAATATTTTTCTGTTTGTATTTTCCAAAATGTCATGGGAAAAATCATAATAAAACCTGATTTGTATACAACTTTATTATTAGAAGCAACTTCGAAATAGCATGAACATCCAGATTCACCCCCTTTGGTTTGCCCCTTTTTTACAGAATTGTATTTTCAGTGGAATTTGGCCAATTGTAACAGTGCCAAATAATTGTATATAGAATACTGAATACCTATTCTGAAGCCAGCTTCACTATTTTAAGAACTTTCCAGGTCATTATACAGTATATACTACATACTATTGATTTCTTGTCTCATTTGTCAGATATAAATTAGATTTGAAAAGATGCCTAAGGAAAGAAAATGTGTTTTAGTTCTGCCTAGAAACTGAGAGATCCCGAAAGCTTGCTAGTCAAATCTGTATTAACATAAGTGCTTATTGTGAATTGCTGATCGAAAATGGCTTTATTGAAAGTAGTGGAAGGACAGTAGAGTAAATCTAAAATGAATGAGCTTTTAGGGAAATTATTCTTCTGAGCATCATGGGATTAGTCCAGTGACTCCTGAATTTAGCTCATTTCTCCATCAGTTGTGAAGAAATCTAGTTTAGATTCAGTGTTCCAGAACTGCCAGGGGTACTGCACTGTCCTTTGCTTTCAGCTATGCTGAGGCTCCAATAATTTCTTTGGCTTTTGGTAGCACATAGCTATTCCATCCTCTTTTTCTTTCAGAAGGTGGTAGCCATTATGGCTCTCATGCTCTCTCTTTCTACACATTGTGCTCTGCTTTGTGATTTACTAGTTGAAACAAAAATATATAATTTTCTCTTTAGGAGTAATTCCTAAAATTCCTAAATAAATTGCAGGAAACAGAATCCACCCTCACATTATTATTTTTTTCCCCACCAAAATTGAAAATAATCAAGCCCTTCAGCATAATTTTTGGGGCTATCTTTGATCAGGCATTGAATATTGAGTATACATGAAATGGGGTGCAAAAAGCTAACATCAGTTGAAACTGATCACAGCACATCTGCCATGCGTTTGTTATATTAAATTTTATTTTTGTGTTGTTGTTTGTAGTTGTTGCTGTTGTTTTTGTTTTGTTTACAAAAGGCAGAATATGTGAGTTCACACTTTATTTGTTGATAACAAATGTAACCAGAAATGAGTACTCTTGTTCTACAGGGAGTTGTACTAAGCTTCCATGGCAGTTTAATTTTGCAACGCGTTTCTGACATAGAAATATCAGAACTTACTTCTAAAAAAGTTACATCTTGTTTTGGTGACCACACATTTTTTTTGCAGTCCATCCAGAATATGATGTTGACATAGTGATGAACAGAGATGGCTCAAGATCAATGCTAATGGCATTTTTTGAAATACTTTTCTAGTGGAATACATTTAGCAAAAGTGAGAATTTTCCAAGGATGGATTCCAACTGATTATCTAGGAAAATTGCCTTCTGACACCAGGGGTTTTATGGCTGAAAGAAAGAGCTTTAAACTGAGAAATGTGAAGGAAAGGTCAAGCTAAACATTTTCAAACTTGCTTAAGAAGACAACAACAAAACCTCAGGCAGATAGTTGGAGATAGAGGAATGGATAAAGAACTCAATGATGGAAAGAGGAATAATAAGAATGTAAACACAGATCTTGACACAATAATATTTGTGTGCTTCTAGTGGTAACAGTATACTTAATCCAAACACAGTGCTGAATTTGTCCATAATTAACTGCTAACAGGTAAGTAGCGAATGAATAGGAAAATTGAGTAATGCAATGGAGAAGCATTAAATATTGATCAGGCTAAAAAGCTGCTGAGATACCTCAACAGAAAAGGAGTAGAATGAAAAAGGAAAGCAAAACAAACCATTACCATTTATTGTGTTTTAGGGAAGACGGAAGAAAAAAACATAGCTTCATGTGCCAATGGTATTATAGATTCCAAGGAAACAGAAAGTGAGAATTTGAACAGAATAGAATATTTCCTGAAGGATTTGTTAACAGCTCATTTGGATTAGTGTTTGAACCCGGTAAGGGTGATTTTTATTATGGAAAGAGAGATTAGAAAGAGTTAACGGAGGTATAAATATGATTTAAAATTCTATTTTATGGGTACTTGCCTTTCCAGATACAGATTAAAGAGCCTTCTGTTTGTAGTAGAGATCACAAGGCTGGCAATGAGAAAAAACAAAAGAACTGCGTGAATGTTTAATTTTACACTGTATTTTAAAAGTCAATAGATGATACATAGATAGATTCTTGAAGTTGAAAGCTGGCTTTCTCTTTAGTGAAGCTGGGAGTCATGTCCTAAAAGTTTGATTAGATTAATGAAAACTTTCCATAAGACTGGCTTTTATAGGGATTTATCTATGTTATCTGCCAGAAATCATTTTGTCACACTTGCACTTCTACATATGGTGAAGGTTATAATTCATTACTGAAAATACTGATCCTTCTGGCTGGAAAATCTTAATACTGAACATGAAACAATTTGTTCAATTAAATAGTTAATCAGAATTGCTTGTAATTTTGTATTTCCTAGTCATAAGATTAAATTATGTTTATATTTTAATTTTCTAATCCTTGAGTGAAAATATTGGTGAACCCTTTCTTAGTATCATTGTTAAGGGTGGAAGATAGTCGATGAACCTGCAAGTTAAAGAACCTACATTTGTGTGTGACACAGTTTGCATTTTTCACTTTGCAGTTATGTGTAAATACTTTCCTTTCAGTCTGCTCTAACAATAGAGAAATCTCTTATTTACTGCAGCACTTCGGTACACACTGGGGATGGGAACATGATTACTATGTTTATTTTATTCTGCTCACTGCAAACATTTTTGAACTCCAGATGTTCTTCTCAGGTTTTAAGCTTCCTGCACTAACATGAAATGGATCATTATTCCTCTCCCTGAGAATCAAATCATGCTAAGATACACCAAAACTCTGTTCATTTTCATTATAAACTATTATGGGGCTGTTCAGTGTAACTTTTAAAATTCACCTGAATTAATCAATGCACTTTCCGTAATCAGGACTTGACACTGTGCTGATTCCAAAGCTTTGAGTGATTATTACTAACATGCTCTCATTTCATTGACGCATCAGCCTTAAAAACCTGAAATATCATATGCTCATTCATTATGTTTGCTTGACCAGAGTCCACTGCATGCAGCAATTGTTATTCCACTAGATGGCCAGCTCTTGCTGCAGTTTTTATGCAGAAATGTAGCTGAAACACCACTAGTGGCACAATACATTCTACTTTGCAGAAAACAGTAGGTGGTGTAACGTGTATATAAGAGGGTCGTTGAAACACTGCTAACAACTCACTACATTTTGCTCTGTAGGAATCAAAGTGTGGTGTAAAACCACATTTCTGTGCTGACACCGTCGTGCATATTTCTGTACCAGGTGTAATGAATAACTGTAAATCTTTGAAAGCAGACTGCATATGGTATTTGTGCCATGCCATACTACATGTGTATATATCTAGCCTGAGAAAAGGATAGACATAGCCATTAAGTTGGACCAAGCTTCTAGCTTTAGCCATTTTCTCCAATGAAGTGAGAAAGTGCTACCCTGCTTCAGATGATGAAGAACGGGCTTTGGATCCAATCCTATTTTTCACAGGCAACACAGATGCAGGAAAAAAGAAATATCAGTTTTACATAACTGGTATCAGACGTCACTGTTGTTCAGATATGGCAAAGTAAATTGTGATGATGGGCTTGTGTGTACTTTGGTAAGCAAAAATTGTTTTTGTTTCTGTTTTGGTTAAGGTAGCAGTAAGGTTTTTTTTTTAAATGCGGAAGTTGAGAAGTTGACAATTACATTAATAGAAGATACGATTCTATTCACAACCTATTATCAAGTGACAGTTCTGACATGAACCAGAGGGTAAGCAGGGACTTAACATGTCTAAATTTTGGAACTAAAATGGGAAACTGGGTAGATTTATGCTTAAGAGCTTAACACAATAATAAATGATAGAGAAAAAGGATCTTAAGTTCCTAAAATATATTTCAACAAGAATGACAATTATTTTCCATGATTGGGAGTCACTACCCAAACACCTCTTACTGAAAGACACTGAAGAAAGGGACCAGCTTTCATTTCTTCCCTGGCAAGTGCCAGTTCAGAGCTCATTTTCCTTCCTTTTCTGTGTTACTCGGTTTCCTTAGCTAATGTCATCCATTTGATTGAATGCACCTTGCATGCTATTTTGCTATGAGTACAAACCTTACTTGTATGCATTTTAAATTATGTAATAAGGAAAAAGCAACATTTGAGGATTTAATCAGCCCCATTTCTGATTAAAAAAAAAAAAACATGAAAATATTTTTTAAAAGAAGTGTAAGGCAAATACATCAGTAAACCAGCAGAATAAATTACATTGTCTCTGGCATATAAACAAAACAGAAATCTGCTGCCACAAACTGCATCTGATGATTATGAGCTCAAGTAAACTCAAGTAAATAAGAATTTTATTTTTAAAAGACTTATGTAAAATATTTGCACAAAAAGCAGGTGATCTTGAATAAATTGTCAATATTTTATTTTTTTAAAAACACTGAATGTTCAGTATTATCATATGATGTATAGTGAGGATCTGTGTTATACCAACATTCTAGCCAAGTCATTATCAGAATGTAACTTTTTTTTTTTTTTTTTTTTTTTTTTTTTTGAGGTATCTGTTTCTGGTAGAGCAAGGTGAAGGCAAATTTAGACAAACTATTTAACTTGTAAAAAAATTTTAATTAACATATCAGAATTCTTATGTCTGAAGGGGAAAACTATTCTCAGTAGCCTTACATTTGAAGTATGTCCTCATCTTCATAAAAGACTTTTTTTTAAAAGAAACAATCT